TTTGATTTTTTTTTAAAGTCATTTTTTGAGCTAGAGTGCTCATCTTCGGACTCAATCTGTCTTTTTACTATACAAAATGACCCTGAAATTCTCAGATCGCTCTCTCAATTCTTTCTCGAGTTATCGTGCGGACAGACAGACAAACAAACAGAATGAAATTTTTCCGGTCAGTGGAGTAATGGGCTTCGCTAATCGCCCAGCCAACTACAGTTTTTAATAATTTATGTATGAGTAAAATTTCAAAATACCTTTAGAAATTTGTGCAAGACTTTACATTAAATTTTAAAACTTCCCTCATCGCATTCTCTCTTTCTGCCCTTCAAATGAGAAGATGCTACGAGTGATTCACATCGAAATAACAACGTGCCTATTGCAAGCAAAAGTTAAATGCGTGTGTATTGCAGAACTACGTTGATGTTGCCTCAGGACCGAGAACTACGATGGTCTTCTCTCAGGTCGTAGAAGTACGTGTCTTTAACACTAGAGGGACTGGGATTTTCGTATACCTAAAAGGACCAGAGGGGTCATTTTGACCCCTCTACAGTTTTTGGCTGTTTTTATGGCTGCAAGTCTGCAGTTTTATGGCGCATGCTTGAGAATTTGTGTGTTTCAAGGTACCTGATGCCATGAGGTGACATTGAGTAGGTTCAAAGTGTGTTTGAGTAGGCAACCCGCACGGCAAAAAAACCGTCTTTTTGCAATTTTTCAGCAATTTATGCTAACTGTTCGTAATATTCTAGACGTTTTTAAACTTCAAATATAGTATTCGACTTAGTACACATTTGTAAGTGTGCTATTTTCATAACACATACGTACTCTAAAAGCGGGAGTGTGATCCACGCAAAAACAGTTTATTTTTTACCAATTTGGCACTGACAAAAATGTGCGTGGCAGTTTTGGCCTACGCAAAACCATCCGTACTCTGTGCTACGCGCCCCTCGTTGCCCTCAGAACACGCAACTACCACTAAAGCCTTGGATGTGATGTGATTTAGAAACTGGATTTTGTGACGTACGTGTTGCCTACCTTCGCCGAATAAAGAAGTTTAAAAGTGTCACATGAACGACCAAAAGTCATTAGGTACCCTAAAAAACATATACGGTCAGCCTTATTAATAAAAAGTCGCTCCTCGTCAGGTTACACCTATAAAATCTCGCGAAGGGGTCAAAATGACCCCTTGGTGCTTCTATGTATAAGTAGTAATATCTACGAAAGTTCTTGTCGCAGAGACCTCATATTATGTGTCCAAGCGTCTTTCGGTAGTACATGAAAAGTCGGAAAGTGATGAATTGGTCAAAAAAATTATTCATAGTTCCTCTGGCAATTAAAAATCAAAAGGGGTCATGTTGACCCCTCCGGTCCTTCTAGTGTTAAGTGTCAACCTGTTGACACTTGCGACGATAACGATCGGGCCCCTACGTCAATCACCCAGATTGTGGCCACCCAGCACGAGTATTTGTGCCCTTTTTGACCCGTGCCGTGGCACAGATCTATGTATGTATGCACGTGAACGTACTCAGTAGGCAGCTAACGAAGTTAACTAAGGGACAGTACAACAATACTCCACAGTACACAGCTCATTCTTACTCCGTCTTCCGATCGACCAGCATCAAACCGCGCAGTAAAAGGCTTGACCTCACCGTAAGTAGCACCTTAGTAGACTTTGCATTATTTAGTCGGCATTAAGATGCTTAGATATCCACGACAAAAGTAATACATTTAGTCAGAACGCCCATTCTTTTTGAATAAAGGCACCATCGCAATCAAGACTTGATCTTGAAGACAGATGGGCCGATATTACGAGAAGGGCAGTGTTTTACTTTCTTCGATATTCAGAAAAATATCTTTGTTGCCTGAGCTAAAACCAATAGAGGACTTCAAAATGGCCTTTGACTTTTCAACCTATTATTTCCATACACTGACCTCTCAAAGCACTCTAAAAATTTAGTCTTGGATAAGGAGACTGTTGCGGCGTTCGGTACCTGACTTTTAGGGGTTATTGGCTGAGCGATTAGCGAAGCCTATTACTCC